GGCATGTTAACCTGGAAACTGGGGCAGTCCTAATTTTAGGACCTGCCTGTGAGTCACAGGCATGTGCAGCTCGTCCAGGTCAGGTCAGTGAAAGCCCTTAATGAAAGTATAGTGTCTGAATCTGTGTCCAAGGAGTCCCTGCAGACAGGACACAGACTCTGAGGCATTGCATAAGCACTTGCTGCCTTTGGCCCCTAAGCATTGCTCCTGACCACATGCCACTCTCTGTCACACCTCCATCTGAATCTGGGGGACTCATTTCACCTGCTTCACTCTTCTGAGGGTTAGTTTTAAGCTGAGATGTCCTCCTTGTATTTTACCGGGGTAGTGCTGCTCCAAAGGGAGACGTGGCCCATTGGGCCTATACACCTTGCCTATCTGCAATTAATTTCTCCCAGGAGACGTGCTCAGGTGTCTGTAGTAGGTGAAATGAAGTCCAGCCTTTGAGTCTAATTCTCCTGCCAACACCGAGGTAGCAGCAGGTTACAACTGCCCTGGAAACATGATTTAACTGCATTCAGCCTGTGGTTGGGAAAAGAAAAGCTCAAGAGAGGTTCTCTTTTAACCATGAGAATGTAAAATTTCATGTGTAGCTGACAGTTCTCTTAATCCTGCCATTTTATTGATGAAGAATCTCTGGGTACCTCAACTGTTTCTCAGTTTCCCTAGACAGCAATTGACCTTGTTTCAGCTACACATCAAAATGGGCTGTCAATCAAGGTGCTATTGATTTAAACCTAATGGCCAGCCACTCAAGAATTTCACCCAGAAAAGAAAAATCAATGCCACATTATTATTATTTATTATTATTATTACTATTATTATTGTTATTGTTATACTTCATGTTAAGATATTATAATGAAAAAGCATGTGTCTCATCAGCCTCTTACTCTTAAGCAACACACTTGCAGGGCTAAGAACATTGGGTCAGGCTCTGGTGAGGTAGCCAGCCAACTACAGATTGAAATGGCTCTAGTGTCAAACAATTTTCCTTGATTGCATGCTGCCATCCACATCACTCTGCTGACCTTCCCTGAGGCATGTGAGACACTGCTATGTGAGACTCCAGGGAGGATGTCTTGAACAATGCAGTATCCCTATTATTGGAGGAGCTCTGTGTGGGAAGGATGCTCCCTGTCTTGTCCTTGCCTCATGTCGGATGTTTTCTTCCCCTCCTCCCCTATCCCAAGGGGAAAGTGTCACTCAGAATCTGCAAGATTGGTTTACTAGACTGGTTTAAATGCACAGCAGGTAAGCACCTGTCAGATAGAGGCTTAGATCCGTGGTAGGACTGAGCAACACCACAGGCCCCATCTTGTCTAGTAAGTAAGGGATGCCAAGATGCATTCTGTCACCCATAGGCTAAATGGTCCCACACTGTCTGTGTCCATGCTGCTAAATCCACTTACCTGCCAAAACAAGGCGATTTGCCTCTTTGGGCTTCTAAGGGCAGGCACAACACTTATTTACTGCAGCATAGGTGTTGTCTGGGAGAGGGCACAGGTTGAAGCCAGGCTGTGGGGTGTGCTGACACTTTGCTGGTGTGGGTGATTAGGTGGGCTGCAGGAGCCTGTAACATAGTACTTCTCAGTTCCTTGGGAAGGTAAAGATATCAGCCATAGAGTCCCAAAACTGTCATGAACAGTTGTGGTTCAGGTCTTCTGCAGAGTCTTATCTATAGTCACCCCAAATACCTTGGAGCCAGATCACCATTTGAAATAAGAAATAGAGTTTTCACTGTTAGGGTGGTCAGGCGTTGGAATAGGTTGCCCAGGGAACTGGTGGAGTCACCATCCCTGGAAGTGTGTAAGAGGTGTCTGGATCTAGTGCCAGAAGATATGATTAGGGTTTAGGTGTTACAGCAGAGTGAGAGGTTAATGGTTGGACTTGATGATATTAAAGGTTTCTTCTAAAGTTGGTGATTCAATGATTCTAAGTGATGTTGAGTCTTGGGCCTCCTTTTAACCAGCCAAAGAAACTTGAAGAGCAAGGGATGGCATAGAACAGTCCTGCCTCCCAGTGACGCTGACATCCCAGTGACATTCTGAAGTGCTCCTATGTCTCAGGTCACTTTGGCATATTAAGGCATTCATTGTCCCTTACAGCCTCCCCTTAATCTTCCTTCCCTCCTTGTTGCTGCAGAGCATGAGAAGAACTGAAGGATGATTTTCATATCCCATGATTTTGGTTTGTCTCCATACGAGTCAACTTAAAAGAGTTGGGAGTGATGCTTCCTCATAATCCATCCCTTTCAAGATGGCCACCTAAAACTGTATGAGGAACATATATCTGCACACCAGCTACATCTAGTGTTACTGTACCTGTAGAGCATATTTGCACTCATTCAAAGTGAACATTTCTCATGAAGACAATGCAGCTGTCAGTGGAACACCTGCACTGGGATCTGCATTTCCAAAGCCAAGCTTTATCTGATAGATAGGCAAGTATAGAGACAATGTGAAGGGAATCTGACAGCACATCTTGAAGGCATGCGATAAAACTGCCTTAAAATGGCATTTTCCCAAGTGCTACTCAAGCCAGACAATACCACTTTGTTAAAATGATGTGACCATGGGGATGTATGAGGCCTGGTGCTAGCTTTGCTGCAGCCATTGATGCAGACACCAACTATTGACCTCTTCATACATTTTTCTGTGAGGGGTACATGTTTGATTTGTGCGTCTTCTTCCAGTTTCTACTATATCTGTGGCATATTTCTGCTGACCATTTCAGTTTGCTTGGACAAATGGCAGGGCTAAGAATGCTTGTGAGATGGTTGACAGTTTGGGTGAAGTTTCTCTGCCTTGTGTTGGTGTCACATGTCAGGAAGCCTTTTACATTTTCCAAGCCAGCTCAAGGAGAACTAACCAAAGTCTGACAACTCGCTTTTCAATTGTTGAGTTTTTCTCAGCTTCTTCATGTGGTGGTGTACTTTCATTTTGTTTCTTTGGCAGAGTTGGAAGGAAGAAGTAGAAGGTTTGTGGGCAAGCTGTTAGAGGCATAGCAGAATGATCCTGCTATCTGTATTAAATACCCGTAAAGCAACAAGTGTTCCTCAACTGAGGTTGTGTTTGGGTCCCACACAGTCTCTGTGGGAGCAGCGGACGAAAAGTCCTTGTTCTGCAAGCCCTAGTTCCAAGGCCAAAGTCAACTTCACTTGCTTCCTCCAAAAGCAGCTCCACCTCACACCAGGACCTCTGTGCATCAGGCTGATGCTACCCCACTGGGAGCGGGAAGAGGCTATGGTTCTCTGTTCATTTAGCACAGGCATTGTTGCATATGGAAATGACTTTGCCTTGGAAAGGCAGGGCATCTGCTCTCAGTCATATCTGCTGCAAGTGGATTGAGGGCTTTAGGGCTAATCCTTTGGTGAAATCAAGCTTCCAAGCTCATCTGCAAATTGGTTTAATTTTGCTCACAAATTTGGGCCTGAGAGCTGTGTAGTGTAAATTCTATGGAATTCCACTGTGGTGTATTTTCTCTTGTGTAGCTTTCCTGACAGTTCACTTAGGACAAGCACTGAACTATTTGATAACACAATAAAATGGGTTTTCTGCATCTTAAACCAAGTACTGTGAAGGCAAACATGTCAGCATACTTGGTTATGCTCTCTTGTATGTTAAACAGGATTCTTGCTTCATTGGTAGTATTAGAACAGAAGAGGAGCTCTTAGCAATGGTTTAAATATCTCTTGCATCAAAAAGGGAGACTGTAGATGTTTGAAGTCTGGAGTTATTTAGAGGAAATAAAATTATGCTTTTACTAGACATTGCACTGTTAGAGGCTGTCTGCTGTAAAAAGGAAATAAAGCATCAAGTAAAAATAATACGTATGTAGTGTGTTTGTATGTGTCATTCTTGGTTTCCTCCAGACAGCACACTGGGGACAGGTAATCCTACTTTAAAAATATGGCCTTACAGGATCTACTATGAAGCTCTTTGAAGCCAGGAGCATTTATGTCATTTCTATGGTCAGGCCCAGAAACAAACCCCTGAACTTATTGTTGCTGTGGCAGATACATCTGTATTTCGAAAAGCATTTTCCTTTGGCTACACCTGAGGAAAACTAGTGTCCTGGTGAGAAAGTATTTGGACAAAAAAAAGTATTTTTAGCCTTCTGAACTGTCCCTCTGATTCCTCATGCCTTAGTGCAGCCCACACAATACGGAGTCATACTGGTGGTCTGGTGAGACAGAGGACAGCTGTTGTTCCTGTGCAGAAGGAGACAGCCAGCTCCTGGGCCACAAGCGACTGTGCACCTCTGTCTCCCAGGTGCATCTGAATGGGAATGGTCACGCTGGCAAGCCCAATCTGAGCCCTTCAGCCTGTTCCCCTGGGGCAGCCTTGGAGGATTAGGAAGAAGTAGAGCATCCAGAGCAACACATGGGATTTGAGACCCCTCCATAGGAATTTTAATGCATCTGGGTCAGATCTGATCTCACCTTCCATAGGTGTTTTTTTCAGTCAATTTGAAGAGCACTTCCTGCTTCTTTTCCTTCAGATGGGTTTTCAAAGGGCAGGAAAACACTTGCCAAGGTTGAAGCGTGGCTGCAGACACTGACACCTGAACACACAAGCTGCCTGCCCTTTGCAATTTCAGATTTCTGAGAACTGAAACTGGTTCTTTTATCTTTGGTGTTTGGGGTTTTTTTCCCCATCTCTTAACAAAGTGTTGAAAGGAAGGGGTCATTGTCCCCAGAATGACAGTGGTGTATCTGTGGGAGAATGGAGGAGGCATCAAAGTCACTACCAAGACATCTGAGGAAGTCCTCTGTCTCTGCACATTGTCATCTGCTTCTGTTCACCCCATGGGTTTGGGACAGGTGTTTTTGGCCTCTCCAGGTAGGGATATATTTGGAGAGCTGGGTCAGGGTATGCACGTATATGGGGCTGTATTTCCTCATGAGATGATATGAAAGACAAACTGATTTGGGTGTCATGATATGTTATTCATTGCCTTTGTCCTCACCATGGTTTCTGTTTCCTTTCTTCGTCAGGAAAATGGGAGCCACAGCCCCAGTGTGACCTGTCTCTAAGGTACAGCAAAATAAAGACCACCTGTCCCACTCCCAGTATGGATGGCTTGGTTGAGCAGAACAGTGTGCTAATGCACAATAAGATCACTGAAGCTGGGAAAAGGAATGGTTTAATTAATACAAGGAACTTAGTGGCAGAGAGTCGAGATGGTCTGGTCTCTGTGTACCCGACCCCGCAGTACCAGAGCCACCGAGCAGGCAGCCTGTCCTCTTCGAGCTGCATGGAGAATGGCAGAAATGACCCTGTGCAGCAGCTCCTGGACCCCAACATGCTGCAGCAGACAGTGGAGTCTCACTACCGGCCCAACATCATCCTCTACTCTGAGAATGTGCTGCGCTCGTGGGGCGAGAGCATTGGCTCAGAGTGCTGTGAAACTACCTTCATCGAGGATCGCTCTCCCACCAAAGACAGCCTGGAGTACCCGGACAGCAAGTTCATCGATCTCTCAGCGGACGACATCAAGATTCACACTCTCTCTTATGATGTAGAGGAAGAGGAGGATTTCCAGGAGCTAGAGGTCAGATGTCATTTGGGATATTTGGGGAAGGCTGGGAGGATGAGGGCAGATTTGAGATTAAGTGTATAGCCTCCAAGAGCTGGTCTGCAGGGGATCAGCTGCTTTTTAAGCTAGTCTGTAGGGGATCAGCTGTATCGTTTTCTCCTGCAGCCAGGACAGTGAGCGCTCTCTCATCTTTATTTGTTGGGTGAAGGCTCAACTCTGTGGATACTAATGACAAAACTCCCACTGGTCCTCATGGAGATCAGCATTTCCCTCCTACCTCTGAATGGGGTGGTCAGAAGCTGAAGAAGACCCGTCTCCATACATGCTGTGCATCTGTCTGCCTACATGGAATGTTTTACATACTGGCTCAAACATGCAACATTTCTGTCTCTGAGTGAACAAATAATCAAAAGTCTTTGGGTTTCAAGCTGCAATGAATCCCATGTCTTTGAAATAAGAGTTTTTTTCTGATGGAGTGAACCACTTCATTAGATCCAAATACAACGTTTTCTTCTTGAGTCTCGTGCTTCATTGATTGCTCACTGTAAAGTAATGGGGCAGACTATGGAAATCAACTTTATTCTTTCTTAAGTGATGCATTTTTTTACTTTATCTGTTTGGTTTTGGCTGAAACCAGCTGCCCAAGTGTGGCACAGATTTATGTTTGCCAGTGTGTGTGGGAATGGAGGGTGTACATAATGACACTGATCTGAAAACTTTCTCTAGTGTTGGTTAGAGACTCCTAACCTAGTGAAGAACATTTGGCTGTCTGGAGTGAAGCCATAGGTTCAACATGAATGTCCAAGTTGAGATCAGGAGACTGCCTGTGTTTCTCTGTTGCAGGGATTTTCTCCACCAAGACCTAACAAGTCCAAAAATTTCTATTTTCACCTCTTGTAATATCAGCGTCTCACCCTGTGATCAGCACAGGGGAAACCCAACAAGAACCTGACTTCTCTGTCATCGTAATTTCTCTCTGTATTGATAAAGTAGGAAGAGGGAAGTGTTTTTCCCAGTGTGTGCCAGTAATGCAGTGTTCAATGCCTCCACAGGGAGACAAAAAGTTTCTCTCCGAGGCATGCAAGAGTGTTAGCTCAAATTGCAGCCTTCTGCAGCATTTCAGAATTGACTGTGGGAAGTATCATTTTCTTAACCAAAACAAAATCCCTAGTTGCTGGGTTTTTTTGCCCTAGTTTCTCTTATGCAGTAGTGATACAAGTGACTGCACCATGCATGTAATTGCCTAATGGTGTTATTGACACATCTGGCCTGACATTTAGACAGCAAAAAATTCCTCTTGTCAGTCCAAATCAACAAGACCTTCTTTAGCCACCTATTGGAGAACAGACTGAAAAAAGTATGGGAAAATAAGCAGGATAAAGAAAAAAATGTTTTATGCAAATAATACTTTTCTTGGTGGGATTTTTAAGGTGCCTTTTTAATGCAGGACTCTCAGTATCTTGAAAGTCATACTGTAGGAGTTTGATCAGCTTTTCAAAGAGAACATTTGTGTCTAAAAAGCCACCTGTAGAACTTCATCCTTCCCCTTCTCAGATCTTAAGGGGGGAAATTTTGGTACCATACTGTGCCAGTGTGTGCTTCTTTCCTCAGCATCTCCTTCTTTCTGACCTATTTCTCTGGACTGTAGCCTACTGAGGTCATATGTGTCCCTTCTTAAATGGGTGTACTGCGTCTGGCATCACAGATTCCCAGCCTTAACCCTTTAGGATGTTACTCTGCTAATAGATAGAGAAGTGTATGAACAACCCTCTGACCTACACATGCAAAGTGCTCAGAAGAGGAAGACATTCATAAAGTACACACCACTCATGCATCTTCCTCTCTATCAGGGTTTCTCCTCCACCAGGAGAATGGAGCAAGGGAGGAGAAGATGAGGCAAGGTCTTGGGAAGGACCTGATTAGCTGGAAATATGTGTTGCTAAAAGCCTGTGCTTTGAGCCCCATATCAGTTTCCTTTGCTATGTTACTTGGCCAACTCCATGAAGCAGTGATTTTCATGCTTTTCCGTGAACCACACCCAAATGATCAACCTGCTGAGCAGCTACACTCAGCACAAGGGATCTCAGCGTGGGGAGTAATTTCTATCCCAGGAGGGTCCAAATTCTGCAGATGCAGCTGGTCATGGAGAAAGATGGGTAGGTGAGGAGAGATGCGTTTTACAGCACAAGACAAAAACGGTGACTGCTGTGTTGTGCTCCTCTGGTTTGCATGTGGACAGATGCTGTATCTGTGTGGCCAGATGCATGAGGGCCTCCTGGGTTTTGCTAGTACGGAGGTTCATTAGAGACCTGACTTCATGGGTTGAGACTCTGGGAATGGAAGACAAGTACTTAAGGACAGCAGTCAGTGAGTAGGGAATGAACTGTGCCAGATTGTTAACTACATAAAAATTTGCCTGTCTGTCCAAATGAGAAAAACAACACCTGAATCACATAGCACAAGTCCATCCCACTAGAAAGAATTTTTTTTCCCACCAGTTACTGGCAAGAAACACTTTTCGAAATTAGTAATAGACTCAAAGTGTTAGTGCGAAAGGGTTAGTACCAGGACTGGGAGCAGAAGTTAGAAGGAGAGCAATGAGAGAGGGTGATACAGCAGAGGTGCAAGGTTTGCTGCCCCACTGTGAGAATCTTAAAGGATTTGATTCTGCCATTGAGGATGCACAGCACATTGCTGTGTGTCTTGCCACACTGACTGTCATGCCACAGCTCATTGAGGCATGGGAGCTGCATAGTGTAAGAGCAGATCAGGGCTCAGTTCTTGTAAGGGTTTTTTTCTTGTAGCGTATCTGCTTTGACACTTCTTTCTGGGAGAAAACTCCATAAAAATAGCCCCTTTTTGGAAAAATTTGCATGACATGAGTGTCTCAGGAAAATGCCTTCTGGGGGATGGAATAACCATAGGGTTGTAGTCCTTTCTCTTCCCCCATGTCTTGCTGACACTGCCTGTCTGATAGCAAAGTTCCTGCCTAGGAATTTTTGGTATGGATATTTAGTTTCTTAGAAATGCCAAAATGTTGAACTCATCCCTTTGTAGTGAACCCCCCAGGCAATAGTTTCAGGAGTGTTGCTGTCATCCCCTTCAGGATGGGTCTATCCAGCTCAGAATGTCTCTGACAAGTTGCCTAGAAGGACACATCTTCTTCCCTTCCCAAGTCTGGGGCTTATGAAGAACTAGGGGGATGCAGCAGAGGAGCAACAGACATCCTAAGCAGGGGTCCTATACACCACTGCAACAACATGCCCACATTTAGCTTATTTATTGGGTTTTTTACTGGCAGTGTTTCTCAGGTCCTGGTGTAATATTATTCAGTCTGCCTAAGAAAATCATAATTGTCTGGAGGGAGAAACATTTCTGAAACAGCTCTCATTAGCATATACAGCCCTGCTTTGCTCCAGCAATTACCAGGCATGAAAGCAGAAGGCTGTACATTCTGTCAGGGCTTTAAACTTCTCTCTTCAGTGCCCATCCCTGAAATCAAATGATTCCCTATTTAGGTATCTCTGGATCACTTATAAATATCTTATGAGTTCTTTACGCAACAACTAATAGACAACTTGTCAAATGTGGTGGCAGTGAAATATGACATGAGTTGCGAGCTGAAATACCCTCCTGTTAGAGTTCATGTGTAAATGCAGTGCCATCTTTTATCCAGAAACATCATTTGTCATATTGCACTCCTGCTAGTTTCCCTCCTAACCCCTAGATAGATGGCTTATTTAGAGAAACCCAAGCTATTCATGGCAGCAAATTAAATTATTCATATGTGTCGCATAAAAGAATACATCTGAGCTCTCTCTTAGAACACTTTTTCCCAGCGATGTCTGAAACAGTCTCTGAAAACAAAATAAATAGAATATTCTGGGGAGTGAAAGAAGAAAGGAAATGTAGTGCTTTCAAGCTATACCTTTCTTCTTTTTTTCCCCCTACAAATTGCTGGATGCTGCTGTGAATCTCATCCTTTGGACCTAAGCATGAATGTGTAGAGATAGAAAGTGGATCCTGTTCTATTCAACCCATCTTCTTTACATTCCCAAGCACCTGCTGGCCATGTTTTTCCTGCAACATGAAGGAGGTTTATGCCCATCAAGCCCCACAATATGCATGGTTTCTGTCAATGCTTCCAGCTTGCACTTGCCAGTCCTTTTTTTGCTGGTAACGCCTGTGCTGCTCTGTCCTCAGCCTTGCCTGGGAGTAGGTATTCAGAAAGCATGTTCAAATATCGCCTTGTGGAGCTGAGCGTGATGTGGTTCCCCTTCCAGAGAGCTCTGTGTAACATGAGTGTAGACGGGGTCTTGCACCTTGTTTTCACTATTTAATTCACTGGCCATTGCAGCACTCTTGTGAGATGAGTAAACAGTATATTCTCCATTCTGCACCTGGGGAATGGAAGAAAATGGTGCAAAAAATGTCTTGCCCAAGTTCACCTAGGGATGTATTGTGCGTCCAGGAATGTAATTTCCATTTCTTTCATCCTGTGGCACAAGCTCAGAAGAACACAGGGACATGGGATAAGGTGACAGGGAAATATGAAGGCATTTTAGCTCTTAGACCCATCTGACTTTGCAGATTGTGCGAGTTTCTTTTGGGTACTCAGGTGTGCCATCAGAGGTAGAGCATGGTGCTCAATGATCTGACCCCATAGGACACACTTTATATCCCTGGGGTCCTTCACAGGCACTTTAATAAGAGATTACAAGAGTGATTACACTTGATTTGCATTTGATTTATTTTTCTCCTTTAAAGGAGAAGCCACTCAAATCTGGAGATACTGAGCCCTGCCAAGGGATATTAACCTCTATTAGCCAGCTCTAGGTGAAAGGAGCATGGCTGTGAAGTCACCTTCAGCAGTCTTCAAGTGCCCTCCTATGAATCTTGTTAATAGCAGTGAGGCCTCATGGCAGTTCCCCTTCTCGTCATCACTTCCCTGAGTTTTCCGCAGTGAGGTCTCTAGGCTCCAGCCTGTTAACGGCAGGAGCTCTGGAGGAGCTGCA